GCTGAAGAACTGAGGGACAGCAACCAGGACCAGAGTTCAAACCCCAGGACCAACCAAAAAAAAAAAAAAGGGCTGGGAAGGTGGCTCCATGGTAGAGCGCTTGCCTTGCATGCATGAGGCCCTGGCTCCATTCCTCAGCACCACATAAGCAGAAAAAGCCAGAAGTGATATAGTGGCTCAAGTGGCAGAGTGTTCGCCTTGAGAAAAAGAGCTCAGGGACGGGTGCCCAGGCCTGAGTTCAAGCCCTATATCCAACAGACAAAAAAAAAGAGCATATTTCCGGGACTAAAACTGTCTACTCACTTAAGAAATACTAAGAAATACTCTTCTTAGAGGAAAATGACCTCTATTAGGGCAGTATTTTAAACAATGCTGATCCTGAGGATCCTATTTCATTGAACAGAATCTATCTGTACAGCACTTTGTGAACTAAGATGCCAAAGTCCAAGAGGAGGCAATGATTTGAGTACCTTTTTAATCAGCGTATTGTTGTTGACTTTGATATCGATGTTAATGGGGGTGTTAGGAAAGGCTTCAAAAACTTCCTCCAGTAATGGAATTCGGGTATCCTTTCCTTCACATTGGCATGCTGAGAAGGCAAGATTTTTAAAAGAACTTTCATTTTTTAAAACTTTTTTTAATAATTAGAAAAATTAAAGTATGCATTCATTTATATACAACATTCACAAATGAGACATAATTTATTTCTGATATAGTGTGCCTATAGATTTTAACCTGGTCTTTTATTTTGGTGCTGGTGGACTTGAACCTGCTTCAAACTGTGATCCTAAGGGGCTGGGAATGTGGCTTAGTGGCAGAGTGCTTGCCTCTGGGTTCAATTCCTCAGTACCACATAAACAGAAAAAGCCAGAAATGCCTCTGTGGCTCAAGTGGTAGATTACTACCACTTGAATACTAGCCTTGACCACAGAAGTTCAGGGACTATGCCCAGGCCGAGTTCAAGCCCCAGGACTAGCAAACAAAACAAAACAAGCTGTGCTTCTCAGATCTCAGCCTCTTCAGTAGCTAGGGTTATAAACATGAGTCATTAGTGCCCTACTCCAGCTCTGCTTTTTGATGGTTATTTTGGAGACTGAATCTTATGAACTTTTTTTTTCTTTGGTCCTGGGGCTTGAACTCTGAGCTAGGTGCTGTTCCTGAGCTCTTCAGCTCTTCAGCTCAAGTGCTCTACCACTTGAACCACAGCGCTCTTCTGGCTTTTTCCGTTTATGTGGTGCTGAGGAATCAAACCCAGGGCCTCACACATGAGAGGCAAGCACTCTACCACTGAGCCACTTTCCTAGCCCTCTTCTGAACTTTAAAAATCAGGATGGTCTCAAACTGTGATCCTCTAGATCTCATCCTCCTGATTGGGTACCTGGCCCTATTTTGATGATTTTTTTTTTTTTTTGGTCAATTGTGGGGCTTGAACTCTAGGCCTGGGCACTGTCCCTCAGTTCTTCAGCTCAAGGCAAGAGCCCTACCACTTGACCCACAGTGCCACTTCCTGTTTTCTAGTGGTTTATTGGAGATAAGAGATTCATGGACTTTCCTGTCCAGGCTGGTTTTGAGCCATGATCCTCAGATCTCAGCCTCCTGAACAGCTAGGATTACAAGAATGAGCCACCGGTGCCTGGCTTATTTTGATGATTGGCTGGGATTACAGGTGTAGCCAACAGCTCTCGGCTGTAGTTTGTCTGGATAGGGTATTTTCCTAGGTTGGTCTCAAACTCATGATCCTCTTGTCTCCACTTCCCAAGTAGTTGAGATTGCAGATGTGCACCAACCTACCTGGCTTTCATAGTTCTCTCTTTGCCTTTAATCAGGCACATAATATACTATATATATTATAGAAACACTGTAGCGCCAGGCACTGGTGGCTCTAGACTGATGCTTAGCTTTGGGGCTTTCACCAGGAGTATTACTCACTCAGGTGTGGCAAGAGGCAAGGAAGGGTCACCCAAGGGTGGGGTTTCTAGGTGAGGCCAAAAAAGTTAAGAAAAGACAAATCCAGGTGCTGGTGGCTCATGCCTATAATCCTAGCTACTCCACAGGCAGAGATCTGAGGATAGCAGTTTGAAGCCAGCCTGTGCAGAAAAGTTTTCATGAGACTCTTTTTTTTTTTTGTCGGTCGTGGGGCTTGAACTCTGGGCCTGGGCGCTGTCCCTCAGCTCTTCAGCTCAAGGCGAGCGCTCTACCACTTG